TTTATTTATTTATTTAAGCATATATTGTTTATTTATAGAATTTCTACTTTAGAATGATTTGAATTCAATTGTTTGGATGGGGAAGTTTGGCATCAAATGCAACGATTTTTAAAATTCAGTCTTCGTAATTTTTAATTCATCATCGTGGGTTTGCCATTTCCTCAATAAGATCGTGTAGTTTAGTATAGCCAGGGCCAAATTTTATACTGATTTTTTAACAAACATTGCAGAAAATTCTTCAGTAACAAAAATTATTTTGTCTGAGGTTTTAATTCAGAATCGAAAATATCCGTGTATTCGAGGTTAAAAAAAATACAATGTTATTGATCATGCTTTTCAAGTCTAAAACAGGAAATCTGAATTTAGTTCATGATTGAATTTTTACAACTTTCAATAATGTTCGAATTGCACACAAATAGAATCTTAAATTAACACAATATTTTAATGTGTGCTGTTTTTAATATTTTCAGGTGAAACATAAAATTAATTGGAATATCTGCAAACATTCCCTCCCACCTCCAAATTGTTTAAAGAAATCAGTATGTGTCCAATTGAATTTCGATTTAGAGCGACGGAGAAACAATCGAGCTTTTAAAAAGGGACGTTTTGACTGCAGTTTATCATTTATAAATTATTTGTCTTTTTAGGCAAGTTTAGTTCTTGCCTTCATCTGGCAAGAAATTGTGTCAGATACCCGTAAAGGATTTTTGGTTGGCGTGTTACAAAACTGCAGCAAGAAACAAGAAATCTCGAATTTCACACATTCAGAGATCTTTAGAGATGTTTTATGAGACAACAGTTGTAAAAGTAATTTAATGAAGCAGGGAAATTATAAATTTGTTGCAGTGTCAAAACAGTAACTGCTAAAATAACATTCCAAAACCCACGTGGAAAATATAAAACTAGCAAGTTATCGCCAAGAATCGTCAATCTATTGAACCGTGTACACACAGAATTGCCACATTATCAAGGAGATAAGAGAGAGAATGAAAACATTTATCCAGAAAGACACGATGTTGACGAACCCTCAAATTCTGCATAATAACACGCAATAAGATTGATGAATATTTAGAGTACAGGACACAAGAGAGCGAAAATTAAAGAGTTAATATTTATTATCAAGTGCGGCAAATTGTACAGTTCAATTTTGAAACAATTGTAAAGTTCTCTAATAAACAAACGTATGTGAAGTACGTTAACAAAAAAATCCCCACGAATTTCGTACATTTAGAGACGTTTTATGAGACAACAATTGTAAAAGTGAACCTGGGAAATTATAAATTTGTCGCATTGTCAAAACAGTAGCTTCTAAAGTAACATTTTCTACTGTCACAGAGGTGTATGAATTAAAAAAGTTTGTATTCGCATAAAAAAACAATTCTTATTACGTGTAAGAACTTAGTAACATCATACCTATGCAAAGAACTTAGTTTTTTTTGTTAGTTTTATCCTTTTTTATTTTGTTTTCAGTTATATGTTCAACTGACAAAATCAAGGCCATCATTTAGTAAAATACTCTTAATCAAACGAACCAGTATGCGAGGAAAGTAAGTTGTTTTCAACGGTCGGGTAACGAATGATGGGACGAAATTCAACATAGCTTGCAATTCTGCAAAATGTACCAACTCAACTGAAAGTGCCTTTTTTAAAAGGACGGTTTCTAAATTTAACCTCAAAGCTCCTAGTTTCCGCTAAACACTGAAAAAAACAAACGCAACTTCGAGAGGTTGTTTTCCATCAGTCAGTCTCGGCTTTGACTGAGACCGACAAATCGGCAGGTTCCTGAGGTGGAATTGCAAAGGTCTCGAGGCCACTGGTCACAGGAACGTATGCCATGTTTGAAGAAACACATCGCGGCTTGAAAATCCGAGGATACGCCGGTGGAAATAATGACCTATAGAGTCTATTTTGAGAAATCTGCTTGACTGAGTCGCAGCATTCACAGGGTTGTAGGCAACATGCAGGGGCTGAGAAAAATGGCGACGAGGGATTGTGGTTTTGTGGCAGGTCAAAATGGCCCTGGAATATTGGTCTCGTTGAGGCCGTGCTTGAGTTGAAAAATGCAGAGCATTCCTCGAGTCCAACAGAGGTTTCTGGAAGAAAAGGGGAATACAGGTAAACAAATTGCCAAAATCTTGAAGTGTCATTTAGCTTTGAAATATTTCAGGGACTGAAAGCGACTTTGTGAGTTCAATTTGTAAGGGCCAACTAAACGGTCAAAGTTGAAAGTTACTCTTTGAATTGTCATGTTCTCTGCAACTCATTAGGTGCAATTTATCATTTAAAAAAAAGTCCTGGTGTACTTAACACGAAAATTTCTTTTTCTCACACGTTGTTTGTGCCAAACAAAAGTTGTTCGAGACGCATACGAATTGTGCACGCGTTAAGAAAACATAAGACCAAATAGTTCCCTTGTAATCTTGATCTCCGTTCTATTATGAAAATTTAACTTTGCGTTTGTTTCAGAAGAAAACCATCCATGTATTATTAGTGGAAAAATTTTATTCTTACATTAGCTCACCTTCCTGTTTCCTAGTGTTCGTCTTGTTTTGTACTCTCTGAATAAATTGAACGGCAATCTCCAGGATTTCAGCCTTTTCGAGCCTGCAACCTTTCTTGATCTGCAAAAAAGAGAATCAAAGACAACCTAATTTAGTTGAAAGCGATTCAGTTTGTTAAAATGAGGATATACATGCGACTTCAAACCATAGGCTTCTCAAACTTACGGCGCCGCGTGTCTGCTTCGCGCACAGTTTGAAACCTACCTCCAGTTCTTTGGCCTCTGGAATGAGAAGTTTGATTTGCGACAAGCATTTATTGATTCTCTGCCGCCTTATCCTCTCCATTTCAGGCTTTCTAGGTGACTTCATGAAAGAGTGAGACATCAAGAGAGAAACAGTTAAAACCTACATAAGCTTTTGTATATGTAAGCTCGCTTGCGAGAAATGGATGCAGGCAATGGGTCAAGTAGCGACAACAACCTGAACAGCAAGGCTTTTGTCATTTTCTCATTGAATGAATGACAAATTCTAAGAATTAGATAACATACCTGGCGTTTCCCATTTGAATGTCTCGGCATTTCGTCTTCTTTAGAGACGATTAACAAATCAATTTCTCTTTTGGTGGAACGATATCGTGAAAGAGAACTGATAGAAATTTTTCTGTCGTGCGTCAAACTCGTGTCCCAAAGTTTGGCGCCCTTTCTGCGCGTGGAGTGAGCAACTGTTAGCCTTGGGGTAGGGGTGACGGTCAAAAAGGGTGAGAGGGCTGTTAGTAAACATGAGAGCTGAACGCAGCGACCACTACACTCTACATTTTGAATCAGCGTAAAGGCTTCCCTCACCCGTTAGTTCAAAAGTGAATTAGCTATGTGACCTTCACCTGTAAGTCCGTATATTGCTACGCCATGCAACCGGTTTGGTTGATGCAGAAGGGCGCCGAAAACTAAAATGTCTTGTACTGAAAACATGTATAAGGTACCAGAACAATTTCTGACCCCATAATTATCCAATTAAAAATGGTTATAGCATTTGAGGGAGATGGATTTTCGTGTGCTTCAGTATTAATTACTTTCCACGTGCTTCGAGGACACTGAGGCAGCGCCCACACTGCGCCGAAAAATTTTTAAAAGCAGCTTTATTTCTACGGTTGGGCCTACCGTTCACACCAATCCGTCATAGGAACGGAGCTTTTCGAAAATGCTCTTCAAACCGGAGGAATTTGAAAACGCAGGCTTTTTGTTTTCGTGTGGACGGAAAACATTTCAGTTGAAAACGGAACTTTTCGAAAACGACGGCTTCACGACAGGAGCCCATTAATGGGCTCCTTTGTCACGATAATTTTGTGATTTCCCTGACCGAGTTTTCCTTGTACACAAAATGACCGGTGATTGTTACGTTTTAAAATTCCCTCGCCGTAGTGTGGACGGAAAACATTTGATGCGTTTTCAGAGTGAAACCTCCGTTTTCAAATTCCTTCAGCGTAGTGTAGATGGGCCCTGAGGATTTAATATGAGCACAGAAAATGTGATGTCGGATCTCAGGTCTTGCTAGTAAAAGATCCTGGCTGTCTTCATCTGTATGTATAAAGAGAGAGGGAAAGGGTACACACAGGGATTGGCCAAATAAGAAAAAAAAATACAACAAAAACACTACTTCCATTCTTCAAGTCAACTTTTATTTTGGAATACTGTGAATAAGAACAATAAGGTAAGAACCCAACGTGTGAGTATCGTAATGAAGGCTGGGTTGTGGATCAAAAGTGTTCCATCAAAAAATGTAATTAGACAGGAAAATTAGATGGCAAAATAAATAACAAGATCGAAACAGATAAACTCGACATCATTGATCACGCCCCGGCCTATATTAGCTGAAGAAAGGGAATCTGAATATGCACGCAAGAAGTAGCAACGTTCTGATTAATTAATGAATAATGTTTAAGCAATCCACGGCCTCCATAGATCGTGACTTTCTGGTGCCAGAGGTGGTGACAGGTCACAGGAGGAAGGTGGTGCTGTTTGAGGAATCAGTCTGCAGGAGTTTGGCTTTTGAAACACAGGATCCAAAACGAACTGGTCCGAATTTCTTGCGCAGCTTGGATGTTCTTTTGACAAAGCGTCACGCGAAGCCGATACTGCAGCGGGGAAGATAACTGGAGAAATTGAACTGCAGAACGATTTCAAAGCTCGCAGAGGCGGCGTCCCCGTAGTTTCCATAGCAACACCCTCCCTGACAACGTCAATAGACGCTATATTTGAATTGGAACACCACTGTCGATGAGAGAATGACATTGAAACGTCTCCCTCCTCAAACGGCGATTCTTCACGTGAGGAAATACTGTATACACTTTGATCAGATGGCGAATGTTGAGGTACTCCTCTGGAGCTGCAAAGATGTCGGCTATGTTGACCGTCAAGTGGTGATTGCAAATTATAGCTATCATTGGGTGAAAACGTTTCCGTATCTTCTACGCATTGGTCAAAATGTTGCTCACAAAACGAACACGGGGTACCATACTCGTTTGAATTATTATCATCCATAACTCTGTCGTTGCCTCGTTGACTGAAAGCGTTGTTTTCTGCCGTGTATAGAAAAAAACAAAAAAAAAAAACATGAAAAGAATGTTACTTTAAATCCATAAAGGTACTTATTATTAAGCAAATCACTGTGGCCAATCATCACAAAGGACATAGACAATACAAAGAACCAATCAAAACTCTTACCATACTCAAATTCGCAATTAGCCAATCAGAAGCCGTGTCTATTGTCCTGACATCCTGCGACATCAAGTCAGTGACGACATGATACGGCTACAATATCATGCTCACTTGGCCGAATTTGAGTACGGTAAATCTCCTGGTAAATACCTATCGTGCCTTATTGGTACGCTTCAGTAGCAAATCAGGCTCGTTTAGTCTCTCCATGGGTATTTTAGCTCGACTACCTCTCGCCAAAATACGAACCATGGCTCGACCAAACTCACCTGACACTATACAGTGTGCCGCCGAAGCGTACCATAAAGGTACGACTAGGTATTAAAAGTAAATGCATGAAGCCGACGCAAAACGCTGGAAAATTAAACCTTAGCGGGCGAGTCACGATTGGTTTTGGTTTTCCTTCTGATTGGATGACAAAGTGGCGCAAGTTTTTTTTAAGCTAGTCGCTTAGTGTTGTATCGACACCGAAGTAAAAATCTTTTGGACCTTTTGTTTCACATTTCGACGTGATATGCTTAAAAAACGAACGACATTGATCTCACTGACCTATTGACAACAATGTCATAT